ATGGATGGATGGATGTTATTAACACATGTCCAAAAGGAAATCATTTTGAAAAAATGTTCAGGTCACTCACTATAGCAAGCATATACAGACCAGTTAATGGGTAGCAGTTTTAAATAATTCCTTCATTTAATTTGCAGGAATGTTTTTTTTTTCTCCTTTTTTTGTGGCAGTGCTCTCTTTGTAACTTGATTTCTTCCTTCCGTTTCATGATGTTACCTGAGGGTTACATTAAGTGTATTCAACATTATTTCACTGTAATATGCACAAACACAGCATTTTAAGCTTATTTTCAGAGTTTTGACATTTTTCAGAGATGAGCGTGAAAACAGACTTGATGTAAAATCAGCTCAATCCCAAGTATTTAAATTAAATTGTCAAACTTTCAGGCTTAAGGGGATGCTCAACTTACACAAATTAGGTTTTGTTACATGTCACAAAAATAAAAATGGCAACTTTCACATGCTTGCTTGTGTAATGACGCTGCACACACCAGGAACCATTCACGCAAAGGGACAGAGGTTAGAGATACAAATGACACCTATAAAAAATGCTTTTTTCCCCGTTTATTCATTGATCAAAACATTCTAAGAAGGTCAAAAAGTTCATCAAGTTACCATTTTAACTGTCACTAACTTTTTTTCTACAATGGAGGATATATTGTTTTAATTAATGATCTGATTTCAGAATGCTGACAACATATTCTAATTTCAATCACAAAACAAGGTCCTGAAACCCAAGAAACACTTCACCTGACAAGTACAAACCCCCAAATAAGAAACAAAAGTATTGCCAAAAGTATTCACTCACCCACCCAAATAATCGAGATCATGTGTTCCTATCACTTCCATGGCCACAGGTGGATAAAATCAAGCACCAAGGCATGCAGACTGTTTCTACACATATTTGTGAAAGAATGGGTCGCTCTCAGGAGCTCAGTGAATTCCAGCGTGGTCCTGTGATAGGATGCCATCTATGCAACAAATCCAGTCATGAAATTTCCTCGCTCCTACATATTCCACAGTCATCTGTCAGTGGTATTTTAACAAAGTGGAGGCGATTGGGAACGACAGCAACTCACCCACAAATGGTAGGTCATGTAAACTGACAGAGCGGGGTCAGCGGATGCTGAGGCACATAGGGAGTAGAGGTCGCCAACTTTCTGCAGAGTCAGTCGCTACAGACCTCCAAACTTCATGTGGCCTTCAGATTAGCTCAAGAACAGTGCGTAGAGAGCTTAATGGAATGGGTTTCCATGCTAGAGCAGCTGCAACCAAGCCATACATCACCAAGTGCAAATCAAAGCGTTGGATGCAGTGGTGGAAAGCACGCCGCCACTGGACTCTAGAGCGGTGGAGACACGTTCTCTGGAGTGACAAGTCACGCTTCTCCATCTGGAAATCTGATAGACGAGTCTGGGTTTGCCAGGAGAACGGTACTTTTCTGACTGCATTGTGCAAAGTGTAAAGTTTGGTGGAGGGGGGATTATGGTGTGGGGTTGTTTATCAGGAGCTGGGCTTGGCCCCTTAGTTCCAGTGAAAGGAACTCTGAATGTTTCAGCATACCAAGAGATTTTGGATAATTCCATGCTCCCAACTTTGTTGGAACAGTTTGGAGATGGCCTCGTCCTCTTCCAGGATGACTGTGCACAAAGCAAGGTCCATAAAGACATGGATGAGAGGGTTTGGTATGGAAGAACTTGACTGGCCTGCACAGAGTCCTGACCTCAACCTGATAGAACACCTTTGAAATGAATTAGAGCAGAGACTGAGAGCCAGGCCTCATCATCTAACATCAATGTGTGACCTCAGAAATGCGTTTCTGGAAGAATGGTCAAAACTCCCATAAACACACTCCTCAACCTTGTGGACAGCCTTCCCAGAAGAGTTGAAGTTGGTATAGCTGCAAAGGGTGGACCGACGTCATATTAAACCCTATGGATTAGGAATGGGATGTCACTTAAGTTCATATGTGAGTCAAGGCAGGTGAGCGAATACTTTTGGCAATATAGTATTAAAACAGTATATGTGTATGTTAATATGTTATCTCTTCTAATTTCACTTGCAATTTAAAAAAACAACAACAAAAAAACCAACAAACTTAGTCCACACTAATGTAACCAGAGGATATTCTGAAAATCACTGATCTATTAAAAAGCATGACAATGTATTCTCATTTAAACCATAATATAAGATCACGAAGCACTTCACCTGAAAAGAACACATCCCAAATGCTTAAAGAAATGAATATAACAGCACAATAAAACAGGAAATGCAAATGACAGTTTAGCTTAATTTATATAGGATAGATATCGGCATATGTATATGTTAGGATGTTATCTCTTCACATGCAGATGAAGTTGAGTTCATCTTCACAGTCCCAGTTCTCCCACAGTCCCTCTTTGGGCAAAGCTCCACAGCGTTTCCTGATTGGACACTGGTGGTCCTGATCTCCTGCTTGGGACCAGACCTCATATTCCAGAGGGTCACCGTTCATCCACATCCAGCGGTCACCCAGGAAACGCAGGCCGATCCACACCCGCTCAGTGTGGTTGTGCTTGATCTCAGTCTGGGCCAGAAGGAGGTCGGTCACAGAGATCACACTGGCGAGATCAGTTTGGTTCTCCCTGCAGTGACTCAGAGCGTCCTCCCAGGACATCCTCTCCTCCACCACAGTCACATCGATGCAGTAAAAATTTTTCAGCCTGTCGCTTTTGTGATCATTCCATTTTCTATTAGATTTAATGCTTGCTCGGTCCTGGTTGCCATTACGATTATTTGGTTGTCCATTCCCCCAGTTCTCGTATGTAACGTGTCCACCTCCTGACCACATCCAAGCAGTGTAGTTGTTGGGGTCTCGCTGAAGTCCGATCCATCCATTATGAATCGTTCCACCTACATCGTTTTGTAGCTTGTCTATATCACTCTGACTGTTAAAAAAGGAAAGATCAGTGTGATGTTGTCGACAGTAAGCCTGAGCTTCAGTCCATTTTGCTTGCTTCTCGACGAAAATGTGCTTTCCTATGTCTCCCTCAACAGCGATACAAAGAAACATGAAGAAGATGGTTCTTTCCATGGTCTCTGCTCTGTAGCTCAAGCTGAGAGTGTTTTCTGTGGCTGCTTCTCCAAATGTCATTTAAATCACTAAAGGATATGACTTTGCATGAATATGTTTTGTTTACACAAGCAAAGCACAGTCATGGAAACTNCCTCAACAGCGATACAAAGAACAATGAAGAAGATGGTTCTTTCCATGGTCTCTGCTCTGTAGCTCAAGCTGAGAATGTTTTCCGTGGCTGCTTCTTCAAATGTCATTTAAATCACTAAAGGATATGACTTTGCATGAATATGTTTTGTTTACAAAAGCAAAGCACAGCCATGGAAACATAAAACCAAAAAGAAAAACAAATGACTCTTACAAGCACAGAAAACTGAAGAACAGAAGAATACAGAAGATGTTAATACATTTGATTGAACTTAATTTAAACTTGAGATAAATCGTAATTATACCGTGTAATCTAGTGCTTTGTTGTCGTGTCAGAACCAGGCAGAGCACTGTTTGTTGTGTGTCTGTGCTGCAGTGTACTAAAGAAAAAGCCAATCTATCTCCATCATTGAATATAGCCGCACAACAAGAAGGGAACGGAAGATGACAGTTTAGATTAGTTTATATCATATCAATATCAGTATATGGAGAGTTGAAACCAGACGTTTACATTCACTGTATGAAAAGATATGTAACCTTTTTTTCTCACTGTCTGACATTAAATCAGACTAAACTATGACTGTTTTAGGTCAGTTAGGATTCCCAAAACTGTTTCTATTTGATAATAATGAGAGAGAATTTTCTTGTTTAATACTTTCATTTAAAGTCAGAAGTTTACATACACTAAGATGCCTTCAAACTATTTGGGAAAGCCCAGATGATGATGTCATGGCTTTGGAAGCTTTTGATAGGTTAATTGACATTTGAGTTAATTGGAGGCACACCTGTGGATGTATTTTAAGGAACACCTCAAACACGCTGCTTCCTTTTGTGACGACATGAAAAATCTAAAGAAATCAGCCAAGATATCAGGAGGAGAATTGTGGACCTCCACAAGTCTGGTTCATCCTTGGGTACAATTTCCAAATGCCTGAAGGTTCCAAGTTTATCTGTTCAAACAATTATACTCAAGTATGAACACCGTGGGAATGTCCAGTCATCATAGTGCTCAGGAAGGAGACGGGTTCTGTGTCCCAGGGATGAAGTGTTTTGGTGTGAAATGTGTGTATCAACCCCAGAACAAAAGCTAAAGACCTTGTGAAGATGCTGGTCAGAGAGAGTCATTATCCACAGTGACACCAGTCCTATTCTGACATGGGCTGAAAGGCTACTCAGAGAGGAAGAAGACATTACTCCAAAAACAGCATAAATAAAGCCAGATTACAGCTTGTAAATGCACACAGGGACAAAGCTTCTTCATTTGTGAAGACATGTCCTGTGGGCTGATGGAACTAAAACTGTTTGGCCATAATGACCATCGGTCATCGGACCAGTGGTCATGGTCTGCAACTCCTCCCGGTGTGGACGGCCCCAATCCCTCAGTGCCATGCCACGCCTCTTTTAGTCGAGTGGTGAATGTGTGTGTGTGTGTGTGTGTGTGTGTGTGTGCGTGACTGCATTTGCTGTATGTGTATGCATGGAGGGTCGGCGGGACGGGTTTAACTTATTTTTTTAAATGCTGTAATGTTTTTAAATGATGTCATGTTTTGAAATGCTTTGTTGTTTTTAAATGTTTTAAAGCACTTTGTGTTGTCGTTGCATATGAAAAGTGCTAAATAAATAAAATTTGATTTGATTTGATTTGATTGTTACATTTGCAGGAGAAAGGGAGGAGCTTGCAAGCTTGACAACACCATCCCAACTATGAAGCACGGGGGTGGCAGCATCATGTTGTGGGGGTGTTTTGCTGCAGGAGGATGCAGGATGCACGTCACAAAATAGATGGCATCATGAGGAAAGAACATGATGTGGAAATATTGAAGCAACATATCAAGACATCAGCCAGGAAGTTAAAGCTTGGGCACTAATAGGTCTTCCAAATGGACAATGACTATAAACACAGTGCCAGATTAGTTACAAAGTGGCTTCAAGACAACAAAGTCAATGTTTTGGAGC